GTGCTGCAATACCAGGTCGATGCGCGGAGTGGACGGAGCAAGCTCCTATTCCATCTCCCTGCTCCAAAAATCCATTTAATATATTGTCCTCGGATAGAGGACGTATCAGATATTAAACTGATAAGAACAGATACTACACTTGATCTTAGCCAAAAGGCCGAGAAGCGATGCCGACGCGCACGCCCCCGCGCACGCCCTCCCGACGACCTCCACCTTACACTCACGGTGACTCGGCGCCCGCTCCGGCCACGTCTCGCTCCCCCCGCTTCTCCCACCGTGGCACGGGCGGCACTAGCCGCTAGGCTCTCGTGCGGCTTTGTAAAGTCTCTTCCTTTTGAAAGACAAACGACGCGTCCGTCGTCGCGTCGTCGCCGGCCCCGCAAGGCCCTTCCTAATTTGAATGGCCCGCCCCTCCGCGCGCGGAGCCCTAGAGGCGCGGCGGGCGGCGGAACCTGGCTGCAGGCCAGGCGCCCTCGGCTTCACGCTTTGGCCGGCCTGGGGGGCGTGGAACCGGGCGTGGGGCTGGCGCCGGGGGCTGGCGCTGAGTCGTCCCAGGGCCCAGGAGTCCCCTCACGTCGTCACTGCGGGACCCTACGGGCTGGCTGCGGCCAGGGCGTGGGGAGGAGCCCAGAAGCGCCTGGCTGGCTGGCGTCACCTGCCAAGGGCTCCAGACACCACTTGGGACCCGAGACCGGGCCCTGAACGGGTGGCCTCCCTACCCCATCAGGAGGGCTCCTTGGGCATCTACCTAAACCCCTCCCTCCTCCCCCCCCCCCCCCCCCGCCCCCGGGCCTCCGTTTCCCCAGGGCAGAAGTGGCCACCTTCCTACGTTCCTTCCTTAGTGGGATTGAGGGAAGGCCGAGGTAGCTCGAGCGTGACCTGACCTTGGGGTCTGAGTGGTCCAGGATGTGGGTCCTAGGTGCCACGAGGTACCGGTGGAGACGTCGTGCCTGTGACACCGAAACGAGTGAGCCGCGTGCGCTATACCGTAGCCAACGCTTCTCGTCTGGGCCAGACTTGCGCTCAGTGCTCTCTTGGCGTCCAACTTGCAGAGTTTACCTACGGAAGAAGCGGTGGAGGCAGAGAGGTTAGGCAACTGGCCCGAGACCACACAGCTTGGCGAGTGAGTGCGAGGGGCAGGCTAGGCCGAGGAAGCCGGGGGCGCCGGCAACCGAGGAATGCTTCTTCCCAGTCAGGCCCACGACGAGACTGAGCATTGCCGATGCTGACACACGGGTCCTCTGGGGTCCTCTTCCCGCTGCCTCCGCCGACGGGACGCGGGCGGGGGGCGGGGCGGGGGGGGTGCCCCGGAGCGTGGAGCTGGCGAGCGTGGGCGCTAAGCCCTGCGGACCCGTGGGACCTAGCGAGTAACCTGGCCTCCTCCGTCAACCCTTCCATCTGAGATCTCTAAACCGGGAGATGATGAGATGACAAGTTATCAGACATGATTATTAGCAGTAACGAGACAGGCTTCTTTGTTTTTTTTAAGATTTCTTTCTTTCGTTCTTTCTTTCTTTCTTTCTTTCTTTCATTCATTCATTCATTCATTCATTCATTCATTCATGTATGTATGTATATATTTATTTATGAGAGACCGAGGGAGAGAGAGAGAGGCAGAGACATAGGCAGGGGGAGGAACGGGCTCCCTCCCGGGAGCCCCATGCACCACTCGATCCCAAGACCCGGGATCACCACCTGGGCCACAGACTGACTGACGCTCAACCGCTGAGCCACCCAGGTGGCCCACGTTCCCATGTTCCGTATACAGTGTATTGGTGAGAACCAGACACAAGGCCAAAACATGTCAGGCAGGTCCTTTCTCTGTACCCTCCTCGTCTGGAAAGGGAGACTATCAACAGCTGGCAGAGAGTCCTGTGCTTCATCTTCCGTCATCCGCCCAGGGCCCCTGCTTCTCCCTTACCTGGCTTTCCTGTATTCCACAGCACGGCGTCACTTGACATTTTATACATTTATTTATTGCCTTTTAGCCTCATAGCATGTAAGCTCTAGAACGGGGTCCTGTGTTCAAGTCCCACTCGCACGTGGAGCCTACTTAAAAATAAATAAATACAGGGGATCCCTGGGTGGCGCAGCGGTTTAGCGCTCGCCTTTGGCCCAGGGCGCGATCCTGGAGACCCGGGATCGAATCCCACGTCGGGCTCCCGGTGCATGGAGCCTGCCTCTCCCTCTGCCTGTGTCTCTGCCTCTCTCTCTCTCATTCTGTGTGACTATCATAAATAATAAAAAAAAAACAAAAATAAAAAAATAAAAATAAATACAATACTTAAAAAAATGATTTCTCGGGGCACGTGGGTGGCTCAGTCGCTCTAGCGTCTGCCTTTGGCTCAGGTCATGATCCTGGAGTCTTGGGACTGAGCCCTGCATTGGTCTCTCTCTCTCTCTCTCTCTCTCTCTCTCTCTGCTACTCCCCCTGCTTGTGTTCTCTCTTTTTCTGTGTCAAATAAATGAGTTAAATCGTTTAAAAATGATTTCGGGGCAGCCTGGGTGGCTCAGCTGTTTAGCACCGACTTTAGCCCAGGGCGTGATCCTGGACACCCAGGATGAGTCCCACGTCAGGCTCCCTGCATGGAGCCTGCTTCTCCCTCTGCCTGTGTCTCTGCCTGTCTCTCTCTCTCTCTCTCTCTCTCTCTCTCTCTCATGATTAAATAAATAAAATCTTTTTTTTTTATTTATTTATGATAGTCACAGAGAGAGAGAGAGACACAGGCAGAGGGAGAAGCAGGCTCCATGCACCAAGAGCCGATGTGGGACTCGATCCCGGGTCTCCAGGATCGCGCCCTGGGCCAAAGGCAGGCGCTAAACCGCTGCGCCACCCAGGGATCCCATAAATAAAATCTTTAAAAAATAAAAATAAAAAATGATTTCCCCTTCTAGTTCACACACCAGCTTCTCGTGTGTTTGGTTAATGTGGGTCTCCCTTAGCCGGCTCACATCAATGGGCACAGACCAAAGTGCCTGCAAAGTTAGAGCAACAACAAGTGTGAGGGTCAGGCCCTTTCCAAGTGTCCAACTTACTATCGCTTCAAGGGAGTCGGGAATGATAAGCCAGGGGCAGGGACTTGAAGAGGACAGCTAGCTTTCTCATCCAATGCGTGTTCCCCACGGCCTTGCCCAACCGTCTGGTTATCAAACTCTTGCATCGTATGCAGTGGTGTCTTCATAAGCCAGGTTGTTCATCTTTCCATGTGCTTCACATCCACTATTATTTGCTGTGAACTGAGTGTTCATATTCTCTGCTCACTGTCCTTAGAATTGTTGATTTTTTGCATTTCTATCTCTGGCGCACTTGGTATCTGTCCTAGTATATACGTTCCGGTATTAATCTGACCTTATTTTTTCTGGATGGCTACCCAGTGGTTCCTGCATCATATATGGAAGAGCCCATCTAATCATCATTTTCAGATGCCACCTTTATCATACCAAAAAGTCCTCATATATATTTAGATCTATTTCTGGATCTCCCTTTCTTTCCTATTTTTCTTTCGTTTATTTTATTTTTAAATTTTATTTACTTATTCATGACATGGGGGGGGAGAGAGAGAGAGAGAGAGAGAGAGAGAGAGAGAGAGAGGCAGGCTCCATGCAGGGAGCCGGATGTGGGACTCGATCCGATGATCCCGGGACTCCAGGATCAGGCCCTGGGCTGAAGGCGGCGCTAAACCGCTGAGCCACCGGGCTGCCCTGAAAACCTCTTTTTAAATTTGTTGATTCAGAGGCACCTCGGTGGCGCAGTCAGTTAAATATCTAGCTCTTGGTTTCGGCTTGGGTCCTGATCGATCTCAGGGCCCTGGGATCAAGCCCCACATCAGGCTCCGTGCTCAGCTTGGAGTCTGTTTGAGATTCTCTCTCCTCTCTCTGCCCCTCCTGCTCATGCTCTCTGTCCCTCTCTCCCTCTCTCAAATAAATAAATCGTTCAATAAAATAATAACATAAAATGAAATTTTTGACCCACCCAATTCTTCGGTGTAACACCTGCTCTGCACCTGTCACTGTGTGGGCCCGGGATCACAGAGGTGAACGTGACCTTGTCCTTGGTCACAAGGGGCATCTGCCACGCTCATGCTCTTCCATTCCTCTCTGCCGCCATTCAGCCCCATCCACTCCTCACGCAGCTGTTGGGGAAGCCTATGCACAACCAGAGAACATCTGTTGGTGCCACGGTTGCCGACTCCAGGGGCTCCTGTGCTCGGTCCTCGGGTCTGAGAGGGCATTGGGTCCCCACCAGCCGAGGAGGACAGCACCCTCAAGTCCAGGCCCCATTGCATATGTTTTGCCTGGTCCTGTGGCAGCCCTGCCTTCAAGCCAGTGTCTACACTGTCCCCTTGCACGGCTCCATCAGCTTCTTTCCATCACCCCGCCTTTCATAACTAGTGGAAGAGACCTGGCGGGAGAGACTAGTGAAAGATACCTTGTTTCAAAAGTGGCTTAAAAAAAAAAAAAGAGGGGATCCCTGGGTGGCGCCGTGGTTTGGCGCCTGCCTTTGGCTCAGGGCACGATCCTGGAGACCCGGGATCGAATCCCACGTCGGGCTCCCGGTGTATGGAGCCTGCTTCTCCCTCTGCCTGTGTCTCTGCCTCTCTCTCTCTCTCTCTCTCTCTGTGTGTGTGACTATCATAAATAAATAAAAATTAAAAAAAAAAAAAAGAGGGGATCCCTGGGTGGCGCAGCGGTTTGGCGCCTGCCCTTGCCCCAGGGCGCGATCCTGGAGACCCGGGATCGAATCCCACGTCGGGCTCCCGGTGCATGGAGCCTGCTTCTCCCTCTGCCTGTGTCTCTGCCTCTCTCTCTCTCTCTCTCTCACTGTGTGCGTATCATAAATAAATAAAAATTAAAAAGAATATTAAAAAAATAGATTTTATTTGAGAGAGAGACAGAGAGAGAGAGAGAGAGAGAGAGAGCGCATGAATGGAGGGGGAGGGGCAGAGGGAGAAACACTCCCTGCTGAGTGGGAAGCTCAAACTCGGGGCTCATTGCCAGGATCCTGGGATCAGGACCTGAGCCAAAGGCAGACACCTAACCAGATGGGATCACCTAGGCATCCCTCACCTTGAGCCATTTTTGTTTGTTGTTTAAGATTTTATTTATTTATTTATTTATTTATTCATGAGAGACCCAGAGAGAGAGAGGCAGAGACATAGGCAGAGGGAGAAGCAGGCTTCATGCAGGGAGACCGATGCAGGACCCGATCCTGGGACCCCAGGATCCCGTCCTGGGCTGAAGGCAGACACTTAACTGCTGAGCCACCCAAGCGTCCCCCAAATAAAAATCTTAAAAAGAAATGGGGCGCCTGGGTGGCTCAGTGGTTGAAAGTCTGCCCTTGGATCAAGTTGTGATTCTGGGGTTCTGAGATCAAGTGCCACACATCAGGCTCCCCACAGGGAGTCTGCTCCTCCCTCTGCCTATGTCTCTGTGTCTTGCATGAAGAAATAAATAAAATCTTTAAACATTTTATTTTATTAAAATTGTATTTATTTATTCATGAGACACACTCACACAGAGAGGCAGAGACACAGGCAGAGGGAGAAGCAGGCTCCCTGCAAGGAGCCCAACGTGAGATTTGCTCCTGGATCCCAGCATCACGCCCTGAGCCGAAAAGGAGACACTCAGCCGCTGACGCCAATTATTCAGGCGTGCCACGAATAATTTTGAAAAAATGACTTGAGGTGGGACAGTTTGGCACCTTGCTGCTCAAAGTGTGGGCCCCTACCCCAGCAGCACTGGGGTCCCATGAGCATGTTGGAAATGCAGAGCCACAGAGTATTTAACAAGACTCTCCTGGAACGCACGCGTACCTTACGGGTTGACGAGTGTTCTGCTACAGGACTTGATGACTGGGGGAGAGAGACGGGAGCAGCAGCAAACATAGTTTTCAGGATCTCAGCTCTCACTACCAACATACGCAACCCTATTCCTCACTATTTTTTTTCTCACCCTTACCTTCTAAACCTCTGAGGAGAGTCTGCAAAGCAGTTTCTGGAATCTTCTGGCAGTTAGAGAAAAGGAGGGTGCCCGTAATATATGAGCTAATTTTTTGTATTTATTTATTTTTCAAAGATTTTATTTATTTATTTATTTATTTATTTATTTATTTATTTATTTATTTATTTATTTATTTATGAGAGACACAGAGAGAGGCAGAGACATAGGCAGAGGGAGAAGCAGGTTCCCTGAAGGGACTCTGATGCAGGACTTGATCCCAGGACCCTGGGTCACGACCTGAGCCAAAGGCAGATGCTCACTGTTGTCCCAACATGTGCCTCCAAATACCACATGTCTATAGCACATACACAGAACTACATGAAAGATGTAAACAGAGACCTTATGACTTGCATTTAAAAATTATTGCCCCCCCCAAAAAAATTATTGCCATGGGGCGCTGCAGTGGCTCCATCAGTTAAGCATTCAACTCTTTTTTTTTTAAATTTTTATTTATTTATGATAGTCACACACACACAGAGAGAGAGAGAGAGGCAGAGACATGGATAGAGGGAGAAGCAGGCTCCATGCACCAGGAGCCCGATATGGGATTCGATCCCGGGTCTCCAGGACCGCGCCCTGGGCCAAAGGCAGACACCAAACCGCTGCGCCACCCAGGGATCCCAGCATTCAACTCTTGATTTCAGCTCAGGTCACGATCATGATCTCAGCATCATGGGATCAGCCCCGAGTCTGGCTCTATGTTTGGCAGGGAGTCTGCTTGTCTCTCTCTGCTCCTCCCTGCTTGTGTTCCTCTCTCTCTCCCTCTCTCATAGATAGATAGATAGATAGATAGATAGATAGATAGATAGATAGATAGATTTTAAAAATGATTGCCATGGGGGTGCCTGTCCTGCTCATTTGGCAGAGCATGTGACTCTTGATCTTAGGGTCATTTTTTCAAGTTCCAGATTGGGGGTAGTGTTTAGTTTAGAAAAAATATATCAAGCTGGGCAGAGTAAAGAAAAAAAGAAAAGAAAAGAAAAGAAAAGAAAAACTATTACCATGAATTAGATACAACAATACAAACTCATAACTTATAAAAGTCAGATCAAAATGGTTTTTCTGGTAAACAGGACTTTTTCTATTAATTTTTGTGGGGAAGACATTGAAGATTTTTATTTGTCCTTGACAAAGTTCCAAATGACCTTTCCTCCTTTTTTTTTTTCTTTTGATAAGAATTACTTCTCTGAAGTTTGCACATCAGGGAGATTGTCTACTCTAGTAGAACATTTACGTCTCAAAGGCACAGGGAGAAAGAAATGCAAGCTCCTACATACTTTTCGAGATAAATAGGGGAGGCAGGGGAATTGATAAAAAGATTAGATGAGGGATCCCTGGGTGGTGCAGCGGTTTGGCGCCTGCCTTTGGCCCAGGGCAGGATCCTGGAGACCTGGGATCGAATCCCACGTTGGGCTCCCGGTGCATGGAGCCTGCTTCTCCCTCTGCCTGTGTCTCTGCCTCTCTCTCTGTGTGACTATTATAAAAATAAATTAAAATAAAAAAAAAAAAGATTAGATGAACTTTTTTTTTTTTAGATGAACTTTGAATAACAATTCTGGAGCCATCCAGCAAGTAGGCTTTGATTTGTAAGATTTGTAAAGCAAGGACAGCTATTTTTTTTTTTTAAGAGTTCATTTATATATTCATGAGAGACACACAGAGACACAGGCAGAGACACAGGCAAAGAGAGAAGCAGGCTCCATGCAGGGAGCCCGATGTGGGACTGGATCCCAGTACTCCAGGATCACGCCCCGGTCTGAAGGCCGGCGCCCAACCATTAAGCCACCCAGGTGTCCCAGGGACAGCTATTTTTAATTCCTTAAAGAATGGGTGGCCACCTAAGTGATATCAACGGTTGGAAGGTTTTTCTTCCCTCTAGATATGTATGTATGTATGTATTTAAAGATTTCATTTATTTATTCATGAGCGACACAGGCAGAGACATAGGCAGAGGGAGAAGCAGGCTCCATGCAGGAAGCCAGATGTGGGACTCGATCCTGGAACTCTGGGATCATGCCCTGAGCCAAAGGCAGATGCTCAACCTCTGAGCCACCCAGATGTCCCCCCTCTAGGTACTTAGCTTAGGGGAGAACGTCTTACAAAAATTCCTATCAGGCTTTGAATATTGGCTTCCAGTTGGCCAAATATGTGATCATAGTTTTATTGAATCCTTTCAACTATCTTGTCAGGTTTCAGCCAGGACAAATAGTGACTCTTTCTGACCGTACTGCACAAACCCATTAATTTAATTGTAGTTTCCCCTTAGCTATTTAAGGGAGTAACGTTGCAGTTCAGAGAAAATCCCTCAGAATCCCATCAACATGGTGGGAGGGCCTCCTCCGAGGGTAAACGTAGGGGCATTTGAGTTGATATTACAGAATTTGTAAAGGGCGTTTGAGGACAACCTCTTGCAGGGTCCCAGTTGATTACAACTGAGACATCAATCCTTGGGCCTGTGTTTTAATGGTGGAGCCCTAGGAGAAGGGTGCAATGTGGGAGGATAAGGTGTTCTTTTAGACGCCTGGCCTTAGGGACGCCTGGGTGGCTCAGTGGTTGAGCGTTTACCTTCGGCTCTGGGTGTGATCCTGGAATCCTGGGATGGAGTCCCACATCGGACTCTCTGCATGGAGCCTGCTTCTCCCTCTGCCTGTATATCTGCCTCTGTGTGTGTGTGTGTGTGTGTGTGTGTCTTTCATGAATAAATAAGATCTTTAAAAATAATTTTTTAAAAAAATAGATGCCTGGCCTTGGAGCTGCTGTAGCTATAAAGTGAATAGCGTGGTGGGTCTTGGTTTACAATCCTGTTCCAAAGTTCTTTCAGAGTGTTCAACTATTGTCACTAGTTCAGTCAGACCGGTGCCCTCCCATCTTCTCTTCTGCCTTTCTAGCCTCCACTAATCTGGAGATAATCCACTTACAAACGGGGCAAGTAGAGCAGGTTCAGTGACCTGAGGAAGAGAGCTTCCAAACCAGCTTTAAAGTCTCCCAGCTTTATTTATTTTCAAAATTTTTTAAAGGATTTGTATTTATTTATTCATGAGAGACACAGCGAAAGAGAGAGGCAGAGACACAGGCAGACGGAGAAGCAGGCTCCTCGCAGCGGGCCTGACGTGGGACTGGATTCCAGGACCCCGGAATCTCGCCCAGAGCCGGAGGCAGATAGACGCGCAACCACTGAGCCACCCAGGGGTCCCTAGATTTTATTTATTTATTTATTTATTTATTTATTTATTTATTTATTTATTATTTAAAAGATTTTATTTATTTGTTCATGAAAGACACAGAGAGAGTGAGGCAGAGACACAGGCAGGAGAAGCAGGCTCCATGCAGGGAGCCCAAAGTGGGACTCGATCCTGGGTCTCCAGGATCACACCCTGGACTGAAGGTGGCGTCAAACCTCTGAGGCACCTGGGCTGCCCAAGATTTATATTTTTAAGTAATCTCTACACACAGTGTGGGGCTTGGACCTACAACCCGCAAATCAAGAGTTGGATGCTCCACCTATTGGCCAGCCTGATGCCCCCGTTTGCATATTTGAATAACAGACCAATCAGTACAAAGTATGGAAGACTCTCGGAATGGCTTGTCAAAGATCAGTTGCTTTTTTACAAGTTCTTCTATCTATGAGAACATATTGAAGGTTCTAGACGGAAGATCTTGAATACCAAACGTGGGGTTTGGCCATTTTGCTTTCCTGCGTCTATTTTTGGCCTTTGCTGGGTCCTTCAACAAGTACATAAATGATAAATATCTGGCAGCCCAGGGTCATAGGCCCCCATAATGACAAAATTCTTCAAAAAACTTATGGGGGTCCTCCCTAGGCTTAGGAAACTCTTTATCTATGACATTAAGTTCAGCCTTTGACTAAGGAGAGAAAGGATCTTCTGAATCTTTGGGTAGTTTCCTATCTATCTATCTATCTATCTATCTATCTATCTATCTATCTATCATCTATCTATTTTTGAGAGAGTATATGCACACAAGTGGATGGGGTGGGGGGCAGAAGCAGAGGATCTGAAGCAGACTCCCCCACTGAGCGGGGAGCCAGCTGTGGGGCTTGATTCTAGGACCCTGAGATCATGACCTGAGATGATCCGACATGAGCCACTCAGGGGCCCCGGGGAGTTTCATCTTACAAAGTAACTTTAAGGGGCGCCTGGATGGCTCAGTCGGGTATGCCTCTATCTTGGGCTTGCCTTGTGATCCCAGAGTCCTGGGATAGAGCCCATGGGTTCTGCTCAGCGGGGAGTCTGCTTCTCCCTCTCCCCACCACCGCCCCATACTTGCTCATGCACTCTGACTCTGAAATAAAGAAAATCTCTAAAAAACGAAAAAATGAACAAAAACCCCTAAAGAAAAGGTAACTTTAACAGTCTCTTTAGGGTAGAGTAGAAAGGCAGTTAAGGGCAAAACAAGCAAGATCTCAGATAAAGAAGGTTAGAAGGGAACAGTAGGAGTTACGTTTGTCTTACTGTGTTTTATTTTAGGTATTTCTTGGGTCTTTAACGTTTCATTGGCTCTTTCTTTGGTTGTTTTTTCTTTAAGATTTTATTTTTTTATTTGAGAGAGAGGGAGAGAGCACGAGCAAGGGGAGGGGCAGAGGGAGAAGCAGGCTCAACTCCCCACTTATCAGTGGGGCTAAGTGATGTGGGGCTGGGTCCCAGAACCCTGGGATCACAACCAGAGTGGAAAGCAGGTGTTTCACCTATTCAGCCACCCAGGTGCCCTTCATTGGCTTTTTGTAATAAATCTTTTTTTTTTTAAGATTTTATTTATTTATTCATGAGACACACACACACACACACACACACAGAGAGAGAGATTGAGAGAGAGGCAGAGACACAGGCAGAGGGAGAAGCAGGCTCCATGCAGGGAGCCCGACGTGGGACTCGATCCCAGGTCTCCAGGATCAGGCCCTG